TGCTGTACCACCCTTAGGTTGGGGGCCCTCTTAGGATCCTTAAAGTTTCTATTGTGCCCCCAGGCAGCTGGGCCATAACCAAACAGGAGGAAGGGGTAAGCTCAAAATGCCAAAGGCATGCCATCTGAATCTGTTCCCTTATATCACAAACTCAGTAGATTTCTCAGAAACTCCACCTAGTGGACCTCTGCTTACATTCATTGGCCAGACTGTGCTACACAATCCCCTCTAGCCTCAAGGGATCTTGAGGTGAGTATTTTTAAATGAGTACATTGTCTCTCCAGCTATAACTACAGGCATGTTAGTAGTGAGGAAGGAGAGAGTGAAGAGGTAACTAGCAATGTCTGCCATCTTATTTCTAAAGCTTAGGATGCTAAAAAAATTGGAGAATGGTTGGAAGAATATGGATCAAAGCAGGTTAAGTTGTTTAACATATAACTGAAAGAAAGTAATTTGGTGAAAATTCGTGTAAAAACATTGATTAATCCTCGGGGTTACATTCAATGTAGTAATTACTTCCTTACTCTGATTACTTAACATAAGCAGTATTCATTTGTGACTCTTTTCCAATCAAGATTTAGCATGAAAAATACCCAAGTACTAAAACATATATACATAAGATCGCATGAATACTTTTATATAAGATAATTTTAAAAATCCAGTACATTGAAAGTTTACTAGATTGCTTTGGGTGGCTAAAATAGGAATAAGATAATGAAAAGGAAAAATTCCCAGATTCTTTCATATCGTCACTGCTTCTCTGCTGTATGCTAAATTAACTCTTGTGTAATGTGGCCTGAAGTTGTTTATCTAATGGTAAAATCTTAGAAGTTGAGAGCATCATACTAGATAGTGGAATTGCAGGACAGATTTCAAGATGACCAATCAGTTCATTTCTATTTCTTGTAGAAAAGTAGGTACCAATAATAGCAATAATTTTGTCTCTTTTTAACTATTAACTACCAGTCTAAGTCGAATCTTAGAATTTTAGAGCTGAATCTTAAATTTTAGGACTGAAATCCCTGAACCTTAGAACTGGAAGAGACTGTTTCTCCAGTTCCCCTCCTTTCAGTGTTCAGAAGACCAAGGGCCTGAGAGTTTAAGGGATTTGCCCATGACCTGTCTGTTATAGGTAGAGGTAGAACTGTTATCCAGATTCCTGATTGAGTTAAATCACTTGATTTGATTCTAACCAAATGATTTAGAAGCAACTTGATTACTTTCCCTAGCTACTATGAACAAAAAGAGTCAAGTCTAGTCATAATATACTTTCTCCTAGAAATACTGTCTTCTGTAGTGCTTAGAACTAAGGATGAAAACTGGACAAGTTTGTGGTGGGCATATACCAATCTTGGTAACATTGGTGACTTTGGTCCCCTACCACCATTTGCTATTCATTAGGCAAATAAACATTTTAAATTATCATTGGTCACTATGACAAGGTGACTCTGAGTTCCAGCTTTGTCCTTTATAAACTGAATGTTCCGACCAGGTCTTTAACCTCCCAGACCTGCTGTAATTAGAATCACAAGTAGATAATATAAGTGAAAGTTCTTTGCGAATGGTGGGTACTGTACATATTATGGTTTTTCACTTTTATTATTACCACTGTTTTTGTTGTTTCTGGCCATGTGGCATTTAAAGATTGCCATTTGTTTAATGAATGCAGTTTTATGATTATAGATGTCTTTATTAAAAGCTCCCAATTTTCATCCTTAGGGTAATTCAAAACATCTACAACTTCTGCTTCCCTGGTTATTACTTTCTTTCATAAGCTGAACTGCATGAGAGATTTATCCAGTGCTTAACCCTTCTTGAGTTTTATACTTGCTCATAATCTCATTGTGCAATTTTTGTGAAATGTAGCAGCGAACTTTTTCGTAAGCTAGAATACATTTGCAGGGTACTAATAAAATATATTTTTATTCCTTTTAGTCACTCTTTTAAAGGATAGTTTTAAATTTTAGCTCCCTTTTCAAAAATGTTTTCCGTTAACTTCTCAATAGTCTTATAAGGCTCCATCCTTGGTGATTTTCTTTGGGATGTAGTGAGGTTTTAATCTAAACCATGAATTTACTCTTTTCAGAAGCTGTTTAACTCACTGGTTCATCTTCTCCTACACCCCCAATTTGTAGTCAGATACAGTATGTACACGGGGTCATTTTTACATATTCTTTTACTTTTTTTTTTTTTTTTGAAGCAAGGGGAGTAAATCAGAAATGTAATTTTTCTTTTGTATATGCCAAGTATTTCGGCTCCTTTATTTTATTGCATCTTTATGTAATTACTGTACTGTAGTTGTTAAACAAGTACTACATTTTTTTGAGAGAAGAGTCTCTTATATTTATTATTAGATTGTTTTATATTTATTTGTCTCCTTGTCTAAGGCTGTTATTCTAGGTCAAATGCTTAAATTTGACCTTTAGGTCAAACCCTTTTGTTACTTGGGCCTTTGTTACAGCTTCCTCCACTGATCTCTCCACTTTCACTACCTACTTTTTAATATTTAGGTATATTTTCTATTTTTCAATTTACCACAGATAAAAGTTTTGCAAGTTGTTTCCCTACCTTATAACACCATATGTTTTTGCTCAATCCCCCAATAACAGTTTCCTCACTGCCTTTCCAGATTCTACTAAGACTTTGCCATTTCTTCAGCCTTTACCTCTAGCCCCAAACATTCAGACTCAAAGCCATTGACACATATTTTAGGCTTTTGTTGCAACAGCACCCACTCCTAGATATACCAGTTTCTGTATCAGATAGCTATTGCTTCATAGCAAACTATCCTAAGATTTAGTGACTTGAAACAGCCATTTTATTTCTTACATTCTGGGGTCACTCGTGTGACTGCACTGGACAAGCCTTAATGCATAAACACTTAGAAGGCTTTACTTATGTCACGTGTGCTAATGTCTTTTTGGCCAAAGTAAGTCACATGGTGAAGCCCAAAGTTAGGGTGGAGGGGACTACACAGGAGCATGGAAACGAAGTGTCATGATTCACATGGGGCCATTTGTAACAGATTTCAATGGATTTCTAGCTCTGTATTACTGTGTGCCTTTGGGCAAGTCATTAAACTGTGTACATCAATTTTCTCACCTATAAAAAGAGGTTAGTAATACCTATCATAGGGTGGTTATGAGGTTTAAATTTTATAGTAATTGTTGATATTTTATGATTATAAAAGTAATACTTTTGTTATAGAAAAGGTACAAACTATAGAAAAGTATAAAAAAGAAAACAAACATCTTTTGAAATCCTGTCTGATACAGCACTACACTATAAGCTCCTCAAGGGCCTTCTCTATTTTAATTACTGCTGTAGATATATATCTTGGTTCTTGTCCTGAAAGATAAGGTCCTTGAAGGAAGAGACCACATTCTATTCATGTCTGTAAATCCCACAGCTTTGCATTTAGGATTAAAAGTAATAATGCATAAAAGTGCTTAACCTAATGTCTGGCACGAGTTATATTCCCACTCAAATTGGAGTTTTATTAGATACCAGTAAGAATTCTCATAAATCTTAAAGTTATACTGAGAACAAAGTATCTAAATGGAACTGTAGAGGGTGGCCCTTACTGGTCAGCTTCTCTCTGGGGAATCCTGGTGACTCATGGGTTAGAGAATGGGGAATGGTAGAGAGAAGAAAGGTGTCAGGATCTGCTTATGGATCACAAACTACTTGGTGGAAAGGCCTCTAATAAAAACTTCATTCAAGTGTCTTTGCAAGGGTGCTTGATATGAAGTTACACCAAACCCTCAGCTGCATTTGCCGCAGTTTCTGTCTTCAGCTTCATGATGTTTCCCTGAGTTTGAAGCATTCAGCTAACAATGGCAAGGCAGAGACACCAGAAACGTACACCTGATTTCCATGACAAACTGGTAATACTAGTGGGGCCACTTTGTGTTGCTATATGGGTATATGCAGCAACACAAATTGGAATACTGTGGAACCTGTCCCCTGCTAGCAGAGTCACCCCAAAAGAATGGAGAGATCAGTGATCATCAGTCATCCAGCTGGTATAATACTGAATTGCTTCAAAACCAACTCATAATTGATGCCAAGTAAAAGTACCATGTACCCATTAAAATATGGCATGATTGAAAAAAAGTGCATTTGAAACCTTCAAAAAGAAACCCCACGAAGCTTCAAAATGCTAAGTGAAATAAGTCAGAGAAAGACAAATACTGTATGGTTTCACTTATATGTGGGATATAAAAAAAAACAAAAGAAAACCAAAAACTGAACCCATAGATACAGAGAACAGATTGGTGGCTGTCAGAGGTTGGGGTCGGGGGGGCGGCTGGAGGGTGGGAAGGGAGACAAAATGGGTGAAGGTGGTCAAAAGGCACGAACTTCTAGTTATTTTAAAAAGAAAAGCCATGAAGATATAATGTACTGGGGATATAATGCATAAATGGTGACTGTGGTTAATAATACTGTATTGTGTATTTGTAAGTTGCTAAGACAGTAGATCTTCTCATCACAAGAAAAAAAAATTTGTGACTGTATGTGGTGACAGATGTTAACTAGGCTTACGATGGTGTTCATTTTGCAATACAACCCTCCCTTGATATCCACGGGGGATTGGTTCCAGGACCCACTTCAGATACCAAAATCCACGGATGCTCAAGGCCCATAGCCGGTCCTCCATATCTGTGGTTCCACATCTGCAAATTCAACCAACCTCAGATTGTATAATACCTAAGTATTTATTGAAAAGATCCTCATGTAAATGGACTCACACAGTTCAATCCCGTGTTGTTCAAAGGTCAACTGTATGTACAAATACCAAATCATTATGTTGTACACCTGAAACTAATATAATGTTATATGTCAATTATATCTCAATAGAAAAAAACTTCATGAAAAAGGAATAATCTAAAAAAAGAGACACTAATCTATAAAATATTTTGTTGTTGAAAACTGAAGTCTGACATTAGTGATAAGTTGGTATTCTTTATACTCAGACAAGTCTTACCTTTATGTTTTAGTCAAAGAAGTTTGGCAGAGATCACAGAACTTATCCATACTGCCCTCCTTGTACATCGTGGGATAGTAAATTTAGATGAATTGCAATCTTCTGATGGGCCACTGAAAGACATGCAGTTTGGAAATAAAATAGCTATCCTGAGTGGAGACTTTCTTCTAGCAAATGCCTGCAATGGACTAGCTCTGCTACAGAACACCAAGGTAAAACTGGGCAGGGTTTGCTTGTATCTGGATGGCCTTTGGTTGACTGCAGGAGCCACAGAGGTCTGGACACCCTGCTGCCTCAACTCCCCACACATAGATGCTCAGTAAAATTGTGATGATGATAATGACGATGATGGCAGTGTCAGCACCAGTTAAAACTGGTAAATGCTAGGAAAGAGTTTTGAAATTAATTTCTATTTTTTTCTGATTACAGATGGAATTATTTGTTAATTATAGGGTAGTGTTAAATATTCAATATAAAGATATAAATAAATATTACTTATCATCTCACTATCCAGAAATAATCACTGTTGGTTAATATTTTCATGTATTTCCTTTCAGTCTTTGTTTGTTTGTTTATTCATACATTTATATATGTGGATTTGGGGGTAACATAAGTGAGAACTTACATGTGCAAGATTTTTTTTAATCTTTCCTATTTTCTCTCATGGCATATATGATGTGGGCATTTTCCCATGTCATTAACTTTTTTCATAAACTTTCTAATGGTTGCACAATATTCAATTATTTAGGTGCAATATTGTTTATTTAAGAAGTTCCTTGGGCTTCCCTGGAGGCGCAGTGGTTGAGAGTACACCTGCTGATGCAGGGGACACGGGTTCGTGCCCCGGTTTGGGAAGATCCCACGTGCCGCGGAGCGGCTGGGCCCGTGAGCCATGGCCGCTGAGCCTGCGCGTCCGGAGCCTGTGCTCTGCAACGGGAGAGGCCACGACAGTGAGAGGCCCACATACCGCAAAAAAAAAAAGAAGTTCCTTATTTTTGGACATTTAGGTTGCTTCTGATTTTTTACTATCGTAAATAGATTTGCAGTAAACATCTTTACACATCAGTTTTTCCTCATTCCAGATTATTTCTTTAAGATAAATTCCTAGAAGGATTCAAAGTGTTTAAACATCTTTAGTATTCTTGATATATATTGCCAAGCTGCTTTCTAGAAAGATTGTAGAGGTAGTCCTTATTTATCAGTTAGGATTAGGTATGACTATAAAATAATAGTGACCAAAACAAGATAAGAATTTATTTTTCTCATTTTCCACATATTTTTACTATCTGGGAGCAGGCAGTCCAAGGTTGATATGGTGATTCTAAAGTCAGGAACCTAGGCTCCTTCTATCTTACTGCTCTGCTATTCTTATCTTACCACTTTGTGGCCCAAGATAGTTGCCATCATGTCTTCACTCCAGTCAATAGGAAGGAAGAAGGAGGAAGGGCAAAGAAGGGCAGATCTCCTCCATTGAAGATCAAGTAAATGTACATCCTGGACACCAAGGACAGTCTCAGTGTAAGTCTGCTGTCCCAGAATCCCATCTGACTTAGCATTTGTCCTGGATTTTTTGTTTTTTACAGAGATGGTTACTAATAATTACATTAGAATAAGCCAGCATGGGTTTGATAGAGCTCCGCTTTCTACTCCCAGCCTCTGCCTCAATTTTTGTCTAACGTAGGCCAATAATATGTGAGATCCATGTACAGTAGGGGGAGTTCTCATGTTAAGTTATTATTAAATCTGAAAGACAACCAGCAATAACGCCTCTCTCTTCCCAGTGCTTTCAGACACCTCCCAATCAAGGACAGAATGCAGGGCAATTGTTAATATAACAAAGTACACTGAATGTCTAGAGACAGTTAACTCCTTTCTGTCTCAGGTGGTAGAAGTATTTGACACTTCTGCCCCAGCTGGCCATTTGGTGTATCACCCAATTGTATGGCCCAAGTCTGGCCTTCAGGAGTCATAAAACCACCAGGTACCAGTCCAAAAGCTCAGTGGGAAATATAGTAAGTTAGAGGTCCATTGTCTATGAAATAGACATGTGGGAAATCGAGGCTGATCAGTTCTGTGTAGACTGAGTGTGGTGACCTAGATGGGTGGGATGGGGGTGGGGGAGGGAGAGAGGTCCAAGAGGGAGGGGATACAGGTATACATATAGCTGGTTCACTTCATTGTACAGCAGAAACTAATACAACATTGTAAAGCAATTATACTCCAATTAAAAAAAAAAAAGGAATAAACTGAGCACACTTGCTTGTATGCTGTAAACCGGTACTATTATATTATCTGGCAGTACTTTGTTTTGTTTTTATTATTTATTTGTTTTTTTGTTTATTTATTTTGGCTGTACCGGATCTTAGTTGCGGCATGTGGGCTTTTTAGTTGCAGCCTGCAGACTCTTAGTTGCAGCATGCGTGTGGGATCTAGTTCCCCTACCAGGGATCAAACCTGGGCCACCTGCACTGGAAGCGTGGAGTCTTAACCCACTGGACTACCAGGGAAGTCCCTGGCAGTACTTTGTTTTTGCAATAAACCTTTTGGCAACAGCTCAAAAAAATAAAAGTATATATTTTATGTTTAAAAAGTGCTGGATTTTTGTTTCTCAAAAAAGTTAATAAGGAATGTGTAACTTGCATAAAATGTTTATTGACGTTTACTGTCCACTACAGAGACCGTAGTGGTATCACTGACCTCATGAAAACAAGAAGAGTCGAATCTGCTGAAAAAGTGTCAGGATCTAGTTCCAAAATTAGTAGTTACTTTGGGGAGGCTTAAATGGTTTAAGCCATGTAGCTGAAGAAAATATACATACAACTCTGTAAAGCCTAACTTTTGTTTAGATAAATAACTATTCTTCTAAATTGATTTCACTCATTTTTGAATACAAGCGATAGCTTTATGTTTGTTGTCTCCAATGTTGGAAGAACTTTGCAAACAGTTAAATAATTCCAGTTTCAGTTGAATGTTATCAGGTACTTGAAGTAATTAAATCATTTTAGTTAATTCTAAAAATGTTTTCTTTTTCCACCCATTCGTGGAATCAAGGTAAAGCTTTTGGAAGTATATCTACCAAAGGTAAAGACATTTTGAGTGAGATTGGAAATTCAGTTTAAAAGTTGAATATGAGGGACTTCCCTGGTGGTCCAGTGGTTAAGACTTCGCCTTCCAGTGAAGGGGGTGTGGGTTCAATCCCTGGTCAGGGAGCTAAGATGTCACATGCCTCACGGCCAAAAAACCAAAACGTAAAACAGAAGCAATATTGTAATAAATTCAATAAAGACTTTAAAAAAAAAGTTGAACATGAAAGATAAAATTGTTAGTTTACAATATTAATACAAGTACAAATTTAGGTGAAACACATACAGTGTTGTGATAAAAATGACCGTCTTACTATCTTGAGAAATCTATGGAGGACTTGGAACTGGTTGAGGCACACCCATAATTCATAATTGCATCGAAACAAACATCAACATTCTACTAATTGAAATAGAAGCTATTGTTACAAAAATTTACAAATATCTTTATAGTCAGAGTCTCTGGACTACAAGGTTTGGGGGATATAGCTGATGTTGAGTATAAAACTATATAGTTCAGTACCACAATATGTGCCTTCTCTCTTTGTTGCCTGTCATCAATCAGATTTTAGAAATCTCTATACCCAACAGTGGTATTGAATTTGGTGTAAATGGCTCTTCAAAGTTTTGGTGACATTTTGTTCAAAATCAAGTGGAAATCTGAAATCAAGTGTTCAACAACTGAAACACCCAATGAAGCTTTTATAGAACTGCAGTTAATGAAAACAAAATTTCCATTGGAATTTTTCCCTACAGGAGGAAAGAAGGAATTGAACAACATAAATGGTAAGAACTCAAATGCTCTACAAGATTAAAATTTGCAATTCTGTACTTCTGATTGGGAATATTTCATCTTGCAGGAAGAATCTTTTGGTGGTGCTCCTATTTTGAATAAATTATACACATACATGAATGAAATGAAATTGAGAAGGCCTAGACTTTGCAGCATCTAATTTTGGCAAAACATTCAAAAGAATCATAGAGTCAATTTATTTGACAAGTTTTATCTTTTAAAAATATTTGTCAAAGGAAAGTACTCTGAAGGAAGCAAGAAGACAGTACCTTGAAAATATTTGGGTGGAATAGTTACACTTTTCAATGTGAAAAAAAAAATTACAATTGAGTGCCTCTTCCATTTAGAAAATTTGCTCTGAGCTTACCAAATAACTCAGAACCTGTAGAAAGAGCATCTTTCTCAATTAAAAATATTATGGTCTACCAATAAGAATCAATTAAAATATCAGTAATTTCAAATTAATTAATTATAAAATGCAACTGTGAAGAATATTGCTAGCAGTTTTATTTTTAAATGCCATATTTTTACAGACACATCCTTCAGAAAAATGCCAGTGACACAATATTAGAGACAGATATTGCTAAGAAACAAATATGTGAATATGTACCAAGAATAATTATTCTACTATTTTTTAATATTCAGATTATCAATATAAAGAAGTTCTTTTTTATTTTAATGTACATAGATGTATGTTATTTTTATTTCTTTTGAAATTTTATTTTTGAAAATGGTTTTTGAATAGAACTAGTTAACAAGTCCCCCAGTATAATAAAATCAATTGTTAGTTAATAAATACCAGTTTCAAAAAGTACAAAATTTTAATTATTTTAGCACTCCCTTTTACTCTCACATGGCCCAGTTCGGATGATAAATTGTATAGTGTCACCACTTTAAAGACGTTTCTCAGAAGTTATTTGAAATCCTTCTGCTTACATCCTATTGGCTAGAATTTAATGATATGGTCACACCTAGATGTCAGGGAGACTAAGAAATGTAAACTTGATTGTGAGGTTGCCATGTGCCCAACCAAAAATCCGGAAGATGCAGAGAATAGATACTGGGAGACAAGTAGCATTCTGCCCTACCTTCCCATCCCACTTTTGGCTAGCACATATTTTCATAAGATAGACCTGCTGGTTTTAGGGAGAAAATAGTATGGTACCTTTAATATATAGTTTATATTCATCTGAAAAGGAAGCTAAAGAAAGAAAGAATTGGCCGTATAAAATGGAATAATAGGGGCTTCCCTGGTGGCACAGTGGTTGAGAGTCCGCCTGCTGATGCAGGGGATATGGGTTCGTGCCCCGGTCCAGGAAGATACCACATGCCGCAGAGC